TTTGGACGATGGATTATCCTTGGATCCATCTTTTGAAGATGATATAAATAATGATGTGAACTCACTCTATGCAAAAATAATCGAGAAGAATCGAACGTACAACAAATGAACGATCTGTGGCCAAAAGTTGTCGAGGAAACAAAGACTTGAAACCCTGACTCGAGTTGTGTTTACGGCAAAGGTGAGAAATAACACAAGCCAATCGCATGTTAAGATTTACTAAAATGATAAACATATATACATGTATGTATATCTCTTGGTACATTTTGTATAGCATACTTTTATCGAAGCAAAGTTTTAAGCCTCTAAAATTACTCCTTGTCTTAAAACCTTTACATTCAAGGTATTGAGAATTTCTTGGAATTATTTGATTACCATTCATGGGGCATGAAATTAGTTCTGGTGACTTTCTGAGGAAACAAATGGGTCATGAAAGAAGAGTTAAAAGAAATTCATGGGTCTTGAAGGTAGGCTTTTAAAAAGAAATTTGTGGGTCTTGAAATTCGTTCTGGTGACTTTTAGGGGATATTAATGGATCATAAAAGTAGGCTTTTAAAGAAATTCATGGGTCATGGAATTCATTCTGGCAACTGTCAGTGGAAATTAATGGGTCATGAAAGTAGACTTTTAAAGAAATTTATGGGTCATGAAAAAAAATGCCTCTAATTCGGAGAAAATTCAGGGCTTGAAATAACCCCATGAATTTTCATTTTGCAGTTATATTCATGGGCCATGAAATGATCTTCATGGGTTTTTTACTAGAAATTCAAGGACTTTTCATAGAACTACGGTTCATAGAAACTGTAAGATGTTAGAAGTGTGCTTTCTGTAAAGTAAACTAACAGATTGACTTATGTCAGTAATATGATTAACAAGGAGAAACTTAATTGCATAAATGGCTGGAAAATACTATTCTTTGATTTCTACATTGTTTTTAGCACATAGTGCTAAATTAGAGAATCTGTCTTAAGCATGATCTTGCCTTAACAGTGTAAATGATTGTAAATTCTCTCTTATTTCATTGTTCAACGTTTATTGCCGCTACTCCAGTAGGTGCCGTTAGTAAGACTGTTGGTTTCTCAGGATTCATTGGAGCATGTTTATAACATTTTTGCAACAGTGTGGTATATTGTTTTAATCAAATGACTTTTTCCAGAACCACCACCTCCAGTTATAAACAGATAAATTGGTTCAACATTTTGTGACTTCAGACTGTTGAGGTTTTTCAGTTTATTTCTAGTCTACGAAAGCACCCTTTTGTAAGCTTTGCATTGCATGTTACTTAATGATCTAACTGATTGACGTAATTGGTCATCAGATATTTCTGTTGGCTGATTATAGAGTGATATTGCTGATGGACCACAATTTTCAGTAGTTCGAGAATTTGCAGCAAGCTGTGAGGGTACTTGTTCATTAACTACCTTGTCTGCTGATGATTCATCTTGGATTTCTAGTTGTAGTTCAGCATTTTCTTTATCCTTTATAGGGTCGGATGAATGTGTGACAGTGCCATGGTTGTTTTGTAGCCATTCTAGTGCTAATTCTGTTACTAGTTCTAAGTCAGGTTCAAAGATTGCTCTGTTATGTTCCACAGTGTCTTGTACTCCTAGTGCATTGAATTTTGACACATATTTGTGATCACTTCCAAGCAGGGCTCGAATTTAATTGTTGGATTACTAACCCTTCGGGTTAGTAGACATCTTTAACTTTTTTACTAACCATAAAGTTTGGTATCCAAGCTAGCTCACAAGTCACGATATCTCAAATATTGAACATTCTGTTCATAAGAACTAGGTCAAATTGAAGAGCAGGTGAAATTGCATGGTTACCTTAAAAACGTTGACAATTAACTACCTATGTTGACCCCCTCTCATTTACCATGATTAAAGAACTCTGCATAATTCAATGCGGAACTGCCAGAACCTTGTGAACAATAATTTGGAAGCGAATATTTGCAACATGGCAGATCCGATAAAGTTGTGTCCAGATTCCTACATTCGACACAAATTCACATTCTGGGCCTTAGCACTCAAAATGGCTGTAAAGCTCCATTCGATCGCAAAGACAGCAAGAAAAAATCGTTTCAGACAGAAAACAAGCTAATGCAAGTAAATAACACATAAACCGTTTCTAAAACTTATTATTTATTTGTAAAAGGTTATTTCCATAACATAATTTAAATATGTTAGAAAATTTTACTAACCATGTCGGGTTAGTTGGACACATTTTTAGTAACCAAAAGTTGAAAATTACTAACCAATGGTTATCGGGTTAATGTTAATTTTGAGCCCTGCCAAGGAGGTTAGATTCATCCCTCCATGATGATATAGCATAAGTAGATACATACATACATTAGCTGACCTCTCCCACATCCATGAGGCTTTTCAGGGCCAAACTTAGAGCCACCCATCCCATCCCATCACAGGGGAGGACATCCACCACACAGTCATCTCGTGCTTGGGAAATTAAAAAAACAGTTTAGGTAGTTTTCTTTTATTTGGTCTATGATATCTGATAACAGCTTTGACTTTTGTACTTTTCATAGTTTCATTAG